GTCGTAGTACCGCCAGCCTTTCGTGCCGGGTGCTGGGCCCATGTAGAAGACCGGTTGGGACTTGGGGTCCAGCTTGGTTCGTTTCTGTCTGTCTGTCAGTACCCAACAACGGGTGCCCCACTCCTGCAAGTCCGAGATGTCAGGCTTGCGGCCGGTCCAGACTTCCTCGGGAGTCTTGTCCTTGAGTGCGCGAGTTGGGGATTGGTTTTTGAGGTACGCGACGTGGGCCACGGCCTCGGGCCAGAGAAACTTGGGGAGGCCTGCCGCGATGAGAAGCGCCAGCGCGCGGTCCATCACGGTGCGATTGACGCGTTCCGCGACACCGTTTTGCGCGGAGGACTTGGGTGCGGTCGTATCTATTGTGATACCTTCAGCCTTCAGATATGCAATGAATTCCTTACTAATGTATTCTCCTCCGTTGTCGAAACGGACAGCCTTGAGAGTAACACCATGTAAGTTCTTGACGTGTGCTTGATATTCCTTGAAATGCTCGAGTTCGTCCGTCTTTGTCTTGGAAAATTCTACTACTGTACGACACGCGCACATGTCAGTAAATGTAGAGAAAAACTTCTCACCACGTATTCCTGTCGTAGGGGCCTTCCCCCACATGTCCATGACCGTTAGGTCACCTATTGTGGCCACAACCGTGTTCGACTTCTTCGGGTATGGCGCGACCGTCTGTTTCGCGCGTACACAGGCTTCGCATTGCTCTGCTGGGGAAATACTTGTGTCGACGTCCATACCGTCGACCAGTTCCTTGGTCTTCATGGAGACGACAGCCTTCATGTTGATGTGGCACAAGATGCGATGCCACTCGTCGTAGGTCTGCTTGCGTCGGGGGCGTACAATTGCTGCCGCGCATGCGAGGTCCGGTGTCTTATCGTGCACGGTGCTGGCACGCATCACGTATAGATTGTCGACCCGTGTGCCTTCTGCGTAAGCTCGTCCCTTCGAGTTTTTGAACAGAATCTTGCCGTCTTGCAAGGTGACTGAGTGTCCACCCGCCTCAACGCGTCCGAGAGCGATAAGGTTGTGAGGAATGCCGGGGGCGTGGACCACGTTTCGCAGCTCGACCACGGTCTTGCGCCCGTCGTAATCGTATTCAATCCTGACGTCTCCGCGCCCGAGGATGGGTGTGACGCCTGCGCCCTTCAAGCTGTCGCCAGGCGTTGGCGTGTACCTGAAAAAATCAGCGTGCGCGCGTTGTTACGACTGACTGTCGAGCGAGTAAGTGGAGACGAGCGAGGCAGGCAGGAGCGCCGACGAGCTCTGATCGCAGTGAGACTGGAGCGGAGCTCAACAGGCAGGACTGGAGACAAGTTGTGTATTGAGCGAGGTATCTACAGAGCGAAATACACGATGGCTTACCTGGAGACAAGAGGTCGAAACTAGAGTCTCCAGGTAGCAAGGGATCCAGCTATATACAGGGAACGAACAATGGGCGCTAGAGAACAATAGCGTC